TATTATCTTACTTTGATGAAAAGATCAAAACACACAACCAGAAGAAGACAACAAAGCCAAAGCTCCTACATCCAAAGCCTCCAAGAAAAATATGAATGAGTCCCAGGCCATGGAAGAGCTCAAAAAGGATTTTGAGAAGCGAAGAAGAGAAGTAGAGGAAAAACTGAGAGTGATGGTAAAGGAGACCGAAAAAAAAAATATCGAAGAAAAAACATCTTAAAAAATAGCCTAACCCAAATGGCAAAAGAGGTCCAAAAAGCCAATGAGGAGAAAAATGCTCTAAAAAGCAAAAATGGTGAAATGGAAAAGGAACTCCAAAAGATTACTGAAGAAAATACTTCCTTAAAAATTAGAATAGAGCACTTGGAAGCTAATGACTTTATGAGAAATCAAGACACTGTAAAACAAATCCAAAAGAATGAAAAATTAGAAAACAATGTTAAATATCTCATTGGAAAAACAACTGACCTGGAAAATAGATCCAGGAGAGAGAAATTAAAAATTACTGGACTATCTGAAAGCCATGATAAAAAAAAAAAAAGCCTAGACATCATCTTTCAAGAAATTATCAAGGAAAACTGTCTTGATATTTTAGAACCAGAGGGCAAAATAGAAATTGAAAGAATCCACTGATCTCTTCCTGAAAGAGATCCCCAAAGGAAAACTCCTAGGAATATTGTAGCCAAATTCCAGAGTTCCCAGGTCAAGGAGAAAATATTACAAGCAGTCAGAAAGAAACAATTCAAATATTGTGGAAACACAATCAGGATAAGACAAGATTTAGCTGCTTCTACATTAAGGGACCACAGGGCATGGAATATAATATTCTGGAGAGCAAAGAAGATAGGATTACAACCAAGAATCACCTACCCAGCAAAACTGAGTATAATCCTGCAGGGGAAAAAATGTTGATTCAGTGAAATAGAGGACTCTCAAGCATTCTTGATGAAAAGACCAGAGTTGAATAGAAAATTTGATTTTTAAATACAAGACTCAAATGGAACATGAAGAGGTAAACAGGAAAGAGAAAATTGTAAGAGACTTATTAAGGTTGAACTGTTTACATTCCTGCAGGGAAAGATGATATTTGTAACTCATGAGACCTTTGTCAGTATTAGGGTAGTTGGAGGGGAAAAAATTATATGTACATATATATAGATATAGATAGATAGAGGGCACAGGGTGAGTTGAAAATGACGGGGTCATATCTGGAGAATAAAATTAAGGGGTGACAGAGTAATATACTAGGAGAAGGAGAAAGGGAGAGGTAGAACAGGGTAAATCATCCCACAAAAAAAAACAGAAAAGAAAAGGCTCTTACAGTGGAGGGGAAACGGGGGAAGGTGAGAAGGAATGAGTGAATTTTATTCTCATAGAATTTGACTAAAGGAAGGAATAACATACACACTCAATTGGGTGTGGAAATCTGTCTTACCTACAGGAAAATAGGAGGGGAAGGGAACAAGAGAGTAGGGGAATGATAGAGAGGAGGGCAGACTGGGAAAGGCAGTAATCAGAAGCAAATACTTCTGAGGAGGGACAGGGTCAAAAGAAAGAATAGAATAAATGGGCGGGTGGGATAGGATTAAGGGAAATAGAGTTAGTTTTTCACAGCATGTCTACTATGGAAGTGTTTTGCATAACTGCACATATATAACCTATATTTAGTTTCTTGCCTTATCAATGAGGGTGGGTGGGGAAGGAGGAAGGGAGAAAATTTGGAACCCAAAGTTTTAAAAACACATGTTTAAAAAAAATGTTTTCACATGCAACTGGGAAATAAGAAATACAGGAAATGGGGTACAGAAATCCATCCTGCCCTACAGGAAAATTGAAGGGGAAGGGGATAAGATAAGGGGGGAAGAGATAGAAGGGAAGGCAGACTAGGGGAAGGGGTATTTAGAATGCATGCCATCTTGGGGTGGGGGGAGGGGTGAGACAGGGTGAAAATTTGGAACTCAAAATCTTGTGGAAATAAATGTTGAAAACAAAATAATACATAAAAGTTACCATTAAAAAGAAAATATTTCCTTAAAAATTAGAATGGAGCAATTGGAAGCTAGGGACAATTTGAGAAATCAAGGCACTGTAACACTAATCCAAAAGAATGAAAACAATAGAAGAGAATGTGAAATATCTCATTGGAAAAACAACTGACCTGGAAAATAGATCCAGAAGAGAGAATTTAAAAATTATTGAACTATCTGAAAGCCATGATCAAAAAAAAGAGCCTAGACATCATCTTTCAAGAAATTATCAAGGAAAACTGCCCTGATATTTTAGAACCAAAGGGCAAAATAGAAATGGAAAGAATCTCTCGATCACCTCCTGACAGAGATACCCAAAGGAAAATGCCTAGAAATATTGTAGCCAAATTCCAGAATTCCTAAGTCAAGGAGAAAATATTGGAAGCAGCCAGAAAGAAACAATTCAAGTATTGTGGAAACACAATCAGGATAACACAAGATTTAGCAGCTTCTACATTAAGGGACCGCAGGGCATGGAGTATTATATTTCAGAGGGCAAAGGAGATAGGACTACAACCAAGAATCACTTACCCAGCAAAAATGAGTATAATCCTTCATGGGAAAAAATGATCATTCAATGAAATAGGGGACTTTCAAGCATTCCTGAGGAAAAGACCAAATCTGAATATAAAATCTGCTTTTCAAATGCAAGACTCAAGTGAAACATGGAAGAGATAAACAGGAAAGAGAACTCATAAGAGACTTATTGAGGCTGAACTGTTTACATTCCTCCAGGGAAAGATGATATTTGTAACTCATGAGTCCTTTGTCAGCATTAGGGTAGTGGGAGGGAAAAAATTATAGTATGTATAGATAGGTAGATAGATAGGTAGATAGATAGATAGATAGATAGATAGATAGATAGATAGATAGATAG